TAAAAGTAAATAAATAATTTGTGATTAGAATTTTCATTAATACTATAAACTTTGCAGACATTGATAAAAATCAGTCAGGGCTTCCAAGTGGTCACACCTGATGCCCATCTTGCACTCGCATCTAGCTCTTGCCAATAAGATAGAGTTTCTATTCTATTTGCATAGATTGGCTCTACATGAAGAAATACATAGGACTAGATTGTGAATGTAGTTGATTACCACCTTTTTTGATTATTATGATTTTTATCATTATCTAGTGATATCATTCCATAACAGTATATATCAAGCTACCTCATTCTTGTAATGTTGTGGACATACTATTGACTGATTTATATTCTATTCTGTATTTTTTTCCCTACGAAGAATGCTTCAATGAATGTCCTTTCCTCTCTCTTTGCACTTTTGTAGAAATGTTTTCCAGAGCAAATTTCTAAAAGTGGACAATTTGGGTGAGGAAGCCCTATGGAGGTCTGATGCTTCAGGATTGAAAGTCCTTGCTTTTCTCAAATTTTGTTTCACTACTTAAGCATAATGGACATAGTATAAATGAAACATTTCTTTTAAAAATATATGTAGTGCTTTTGAATGCAAGCTAAAGATATGTGGAATTGTGGAAACTGAAATTGCTTACCATGTGTCTTAGACAAGTTATCTTAAAAATCTCCTTGTAATTTAATTTTCAAATATTCAATTATTTTCAGTGATTTTAATTAAAAATATATGTTTAATTTCCCTCCAGGCTCTGTTTATATTGTATTTTTTTAATTGAGGCAATATTGTTTTACAGCACTGTATATGATTCAAAGTTACATGAGCACATCTCTTCAACATATCACTTCTCAGACTTTTAGTTACAATTAATGCAGTATTTATTCTTATCAGTTTAATTTTACTTCAAGTTTACCAACCACTTTACAAAAAATGTCACAGTTTCTAATTGTGAGTGAGTAGGATAAAATGATTTTGAAATGACAGATTTTATGCTGTGGCCAGTGGGATTTTTACAAATCAAATAGACATTTTTAATAACTGTCCCTACCTAATTTCAAAACAACCTGCTTCTTGCTTGGTTATGGATGGTTAGATACTCTTGGAACAACTGTGGATATGTGGAATCAATAAAAAAATATGTGAAAATGCTACAAGATGAAGGTGTCCCAGTGAGAGTAGCAGAAAGAAGGGGGCACTTCAGAAACTGGTCTCATTGTTTTTTGAGAGTAATCAAGTTAATTATGAGTTCAATTACATCTATTTTATTGCTAACAGAAACAAAATTGAAACACAAAAATACTTACTATCCTTTCCTACCCTGCGCATAACTGGAGATGTATTCATACTTGAATGTTTGCATTAAGGTAGGTTGACATAATAGTTAACATGTAGAACCTGAAATAGCTACTCTTTGTTTCTTTTTAAAAATATTCTCTGTATTCATATTACAGAATTACCACATCCCTGCTGATTTACAAAATACTTAAAAGCCAAAGATATACTGAGCTATAAAAAGTACAACGAAGAATAATACAACTAGAAAATTGTGATGTGGTCCTATTAACTACTACTAATAAAATATTGATATTATTGATGTAAATTCTAGATCACTTTTGAAATCAGATAAGTTTTGTTTTATCTAGTTTTATGTCTTAGCATTTTGTATATTTAGAGCTTATTCCATTGATTATTTTACTGACTAGTATTTGTATAGGAGCCAAAATTATGTCTCTCTCTCTCTCTCCTTACACACACACACACACACACACACACACACACAAACCTCATGGCTTAGGAGGTGCTCAACCATTCTTACTCAAGTTTAGGAAGATATTTTTTAAGTGTATAAATACCTGTAATTTAAAACCTGGTCCAATTCATTTAATAATGTATTATCTTCTTTTTTTTTAAGCTCTGGTACAATGATTTTCTTACTAGCATTCATAGCAATCACCTACGAAGCTTGTTAGATGCAGATTCCCTACACTAGAGAATCTGTGCCCAATCTGTGATGTGGGGGTAATGAATTCACATTTGTGTGTCCCTGAGTGTATGCTAATGAAGGCAATCTTCAGACCACACTCCTTTTATAGGAATATGAGTGGGTAATTTAAATGGTTTCCTAGCACACTATGACTCATGTTACTTAAATTCCAACCTTCAAAAGTGGTATCTTAGGACACTATTTGACCTTTTCCTGATAACATAATTAGTTATTTAATGAACAGAAACATCAGGTTCTAGTAGTTTCTATTGAGGAAATATTCATGTTTTATTAAAGTATACTAAAATATGTAATAATGATTTCTAATCTCTCTAAGTGTTTTAAAACTAAAAAAACACTTTAATATATATGCTTTATTTTTACTTCATCTCCATCCAGGGACTGGTAAAGTTATTTAACATCAGTGAGTTCTTTAGGTCTCCTAATACAAGTCAAAGGAGCACACCAGCAGTCAAAATGGCTTTAAAGCCAGCTTCCAGCCTCATTTTAAAACCCAGGTAATATTTTGGGTTGATTTAAAGTTGTTCAGAAAAAGAATAAGCTAACCTTTAAATTCAGGGTCTCTGTTCTACATTGGGATTTATTCATCACAATATGTGCACAAAGGCAGATTTGGATAACTTGCTGTTCCTAGGGTGTTAGTCATCAAATGAGACAGAAAAGGTCCAATCTTTTTTGTAAAAATTTCCCATTTTATGTTATACAAGTCTTCCTTTTCCATCAGGTCACCCTCACCCATTCATCCCTCATATTTCAAGCTATTAATATTTTTCTGGAAGTTTCTGTAACACTTCAGTCTAAATAAGTTCCTTTCTTAGTTCTTTCCAAGCTTTTTTTTTTTTTCCATTACATTTATCACAATTGCTGCAGTACAATTTGTCAAGGTTTTTTTAATGTCTATATCTCTAGCAAACTGTGAATTCTTCAAAGATAGAGATTATATTTTTGTTAACTATTGTCAAATTAAAACCCTAACTTTGAGACCTGGCATAGGAAAGCTTCTTGTAATATGTCATAAGTGACTAAGTGAAGGGTGAGAAAATACCAGACTGAAAGACCTCAGTTTTTTATTGGCAAGCAAAAAGGTACACAAGAAACCTTTTTTGTTGGATGGAGGTGGGCAGGCAAACAGGACAAATTTTGAATAAGCAGTGTTGGAAAGTCCCACTCAATTCACTACATAAATGTAAGTGATGGGTGTGAGACAGCAGAGGTAGCTGAAAGAATCCTGACTGAGGAAGACTAGATAGAGGCATAAAATAAAATTGCAGTTTATTTAACTGCAGTAACTAGCACACTGCACAGAAACAGTTTCAGAATTGGGAATAGTTCTTTAAGGCAAATGGTCAGATCCCTAAGTTTATTTTTTAATCCTTTTATTTACTTCATAGATACTTGTTGGTTGAAACCCAACCAGGAAAAAAAGATATTTTCAATCTCTTCTTGAAACCTGGATTTTCTCAATGCTATGACTGAAGAATAGCTACTAGGGAACTATTTTAAGTTTTAGTGATACCCTATTATTTTCAAATAAGGCCCCCTCCCCACCTAACTTACAACATCCTGCTTTTGAGTAACTCATTTAGATGTTCAAGGAGCAGTCTACTGGTATCTTGATAAATCTGAGATCAGTCTCAGAAAGCACTAGAAATCTGTCTGTTTCTTCAAAAGTATTATCCAACATTACCATTCACACGAACAACAGGATTTTAAGTTTCCAGGTCTTTATTATTAAGGCGTGTATGATCCTAAGAGAAATAAATCCTCTAATCATACTTATTTTCTACATTTGAGAGTTTGATAGTTAAAGGAAAAGAATCTGGACCTAACCCTGTCAGGTTAGAGTCTCAGATCTGTCTCTGCATCTTATGACTTGGAAAAGATCTAGATTTTCTGTGCCTAATATGTCAGAATTGTGAACTGGGATAATTGTAGTGTTGTGATGGGGAGTAATATGAGTTAATTATGTAAACTGCTTTTTAAGAATGTTTTTTATGTAAGTGAGAATTTTTATCATTATTAGTCATTGTTCCTATTTATGCAATGTTAATTGAAGAAATGAAATAGGGCTGACTAATAAAAAAACAACTTTGCAATATGTTACTCTAATATTTGTAGTTCTTTTCCAGGAGAGAAATAAATTATCTTTTATTTGGCTTCTTTTTTTTTTAAGATTTATTTATTTATGCATATAGAGCTGAAGTACAGGCCAGAGACAGAGTGGGGAGCAGAACAGGCTGACTGATGAAGTACACTGCTGAGGGGAGCAGCTGGCGGGTCAGGAGAGGTCTGCTGCGCCATGTGGGTCACCTCTGGGATAGGCGGGGATGAACTCATGCTGAAGTGGGTTTAGTGCCTTACTTAGTGCTGTGCTGTAACCCGCTGCGCCACCAGGGAGGGCCCATTTATTTGGTTTCTTAAATCTCTTTTTGTCTCTTCATTTTTGTTCACTATTCTTCTTCCTTATATTGGTTCTTTTGGGCGTGTCTTTACCTTAAGTTGATATTATTTCAATGCTAACATATGTCAGAGGTTGTTTTTTTCGTAATCATTCCTCATGACATTTTTTTTAAGTAGATACAAACCTACCGTTAAATTTGGATAGATTCCAAAATTCCATTAGTGTGGACTCTACCATTTATTTAGAGACATAAAACTTGACTTAATACATGATGATTCCTAGGATCATTTTTTTTTTTACCTTTTTTTTTTTTTTCAGTCAGTTGCTCTTTAGCCTTCTTTTTGGAGTGATTTCTACATTCTCTTCACTGGTGTCTTTTCTTACAAGTGTCAAGAAATTATTTTCTAATACAAAGGTGCAACTTTAATTAATGTTCCCCAAGCACAGTTTCTCACTTAAATAACAACCCAAGTAGAATCTCCAAATGTGTTTTTATTCTTTTTCATCTGCAGAGATTGATGCTCTTAGCTTTGGATCAAAGTAAATATTCTGGTTCAGATCACTCTTTCTCTTTCTTTCTCTTTTATTTCTTTCCCCCTACAGTTTATTGCTTTTGCTTCTTTATTCTTCATCCTGGTTTCAATCACGACATTTTGCCTGGAGACACATGAAGCTTTCAATATTGTTAAAAACAAGACAGAACCAGTCATCAATGGCACAAGTGTTGTTCTACAGTATGAAATCGAAACGGATCCCGCCTTGACGTATGTAGAAGGAGTGTGTGTGGTGTGGTTTACTTTTGAATTTTTAGTCCGTATTGTTTTTTCCCCCAATAAACTTGAATTCATCAAAAATCTCTTGAATATCATTGACTTTGTGGCCATCCTGCCTTTCTATTTAGAGGTGGGACTCAGTGGGCTGTCATCCAAAGCTGCTAAAGATGTGCTTGGCTTCCTCAGGGTGGTAAGGTTTGTGAGGATCCTGAGAATCTTCAAGCTCACCCGCCATTTTGTAGGTCTGAGAGTTCTTGGACACACTCTTCGAGCTAGTACTAATGAATTTTTGCTGCTGATAATCTTCCTGGCACTAGGAGTTTTGATATTTGCTACCATGATCTACTATGCTGAGAGAGTAGGAGCGCAACCTAATGACCCTTCTGCTAGCGAGCATACGCAGTTCAAAAACATTCCTATTGGGTTCTGGTGGGCTGTGGTGACCATGACAACCTTGGGCTATGGAGATATGTACCCTCAGACGTGGTCAGGGATGCTGGTGGGAGCCCTGTGTGCTCTGGCTGGAGTGCTCACAATAGCCATGCCTGTGCCTGTCATTGTCAACAATTTTGGAATGTACTACTCTTTGGCCATGGCGAAGCAGAAACTTCCAAGGAAAAGAAAGAAGCACATCCCTCCTGCCTCTCAGGCAAGCTCACCTACTTTTTGCAAGACAGAATTAAATATGGCCTGCAATAGCACACAGGGTGACACGTGTCTAGGTAAAGACAGTCGACTTCTGGAACATAACAGATCAGGTAAGGCACGATTTCAAATGCATGTCATTAAATACTTTGTAGATCAATTTGACCCTTGGGTAGATGATGGTCATTCTCATTTTATGCAAATGATCATGAATTTTTGATCCTACCCTTCACAAAACGTGTGTTTGTTGTCAGGCTTGTATATAACTAGAATGTAGCTTTTCTAAATGAATTCTAAGTAGAAGTCTGCATAGCTGGTTTATAGAGTTTCCGCTTTACTGGGAATGCCCTTTGCTGATGGTGCCAATATTTTCTTTTGCCTGTTTGTTGCTTGTGTGCCAACGTTTCTTTGTTTTCCTGCATGATGTGATGGTATGATACTGGCCATTTTCATTTTCCATCTTTCATTCCCAAAATGTTGATCTCCATATCACTGGGCTTGGTGTACTTGTCTCAGTTTTATCTCTGCCTCTTGGGGCCATGCATCTCAATCTAATTCATAAGAAGCAGTTATTTAAGAAGAATGGATGTTTACATTTCAAAGGCCTTAACACCAAAGAGGTGATATGGACTACAGTCCTTTCGCTAACAAAGATCTACCCTAGTAACATTATGAAGGATTGAGTAAATCTTCATTATCCTTAAGTAGGCTATTTCAATATAATCCCTTTGGATTGATCAAGGTGTTATGTAATGTAAGCAACCCACCATAATGCAGGGGTTAGGTGATCTGCTTCAACTAATTAATGGCAAAGTTGCAATTGCCTGTGGATTTTCTTTTCTTTTTTTTCTTTTCTTTCTTTCTTTCTCTCTTTCTTTCTTTCTTTTTTTTTTTTTTTTTTTTTTGCACTACCAATCCATTGGAGTCTATTCCTCCGAGAACTAAATTTTGGGTGATTATTTCTTGAGACTCACTGAATCCCTACTTCTTTCCATTATCATAGACAATCTAGATTTGATTAGCTATAAATTGATCCTCTTATTTTGCCAAAGTGACTGCTAGTAGTGTGAACTCTTATATATATACTAGAGATGACATATTTTCTAGATTGATCAATTTAGCTCTTACCATCTTTGAAGATTTATACCGTAGATAGATAAAAATAGATCTATTTTTTCTTATAAAATAACATGATTTCATGTTTTGCATAGTTTATAAATAACAAATACCAATTAAGCAAAGCAAGGTGATATTTTCAAATTTTTCTCCTTAGCTCCAAAAAGATTGTATAGGATCAATGCAAAAATATATAGTTGGAAATGAACTGCTTTTCAGAGATTTTATTCATAGTCATTATAATCATTTAGCAGACTGTCCCGCAAATTTTGTAAAGATGTATCTAAAAACTGTTAGGTCAATAATATCTTTATGAGTGGTAGAGTTGAGTGGGTATTGTTCATCTATCAGAATGTTCTTAGAGAACCTGTGCAGAGTCTTTAAGAAGGGCATGGACTAAGTGGACACATTTTCAGCCTACATAAACATTGTTCTAAAAAGTTAGTTTCTAGGCTGATGGCATATGAAACCCTTTGGCAGGCATGTAGGAGTAAATCCATTATTGCTGCAAGGGCATTTTGAGAAGCTGATTGCTCTATTCCAATCAAAAATATTTTGTCACTTCAAAATGGAGAAATGATACAAAGGTTGTGAGCTTTGGGAACATTTTCATTAAGGTTTTTGGGGAAATAACTATTTTCAGAAAAGAATAAGAGCATGTGTTAACAAACTACAAAAACAAATATTTAATTGGACTTTTTCCTTAAACAGACTCCAATTTTAAATATACCTATTCATAATAACTAGATAGCATATTAAAATTGTAGGGTATTAAAAAATGTAGGGTATTAATTTGTGTTTTTCCTAGTGATCACCCTTATTTGAATTCATATTAGCTTGGTGAAAATTAATTTGCCAATTGATAGATCAATTTGAAATTAAAATTCCCCAAAGAACATTTTTCTCCTTTTCAACGCATTTCCATTTACTCCATGTAAATATTTGTAAGGCGTGATGGAAATTACTTTTCTTAGTATGATGTGATTATTATGTTTTGTATATCGAGTGACTGTACTTGGGACATTTGGTGTAAACTCTTTGTACTGTCTCATTTCCTCATCCATCACTGTCTGTCAATGGGCGTGGTGCTGTGACCAGTGTTATCAGGCGACGACAGTACAGGAAGTGAGCCGCCATTATCACCCCCAGAAAGGCTCCCCATCAGACGTTCTAGTACCAGAGACAAAAACAGAAGAGGGGAAACGTGTTTCCTACTGACGACAGGTGATTACACGTGTGCTTCTGATGGAGGCATCAGGAAAGGTAGGCTCTCATTTAATCAGATCCTAACAGGCAATTAAGTGTTGCAAATATATGGTGTGAGGTAAAATGCCATTCATCGTTTCTAGAAAAGACTGTATTTAGTGCTTTTTTCCTACCCTCATCACATCTTTCATTATAAACATTTTAAAATACATGTCATGTCATCCTGCCTGATTGTCATCTCTGAAAAACATTTCACCCTCCTCAATTTTAAAAGTTGTCAGTCATCCAATTTAATATAAAGTACTCAGCAGTCTTCAAAATTATCTTTTTCTTATAACTAATAAAAGTAACTAGCTGATTCTCTACATGTATTTGATTAGAAATTGATTATAAAACAGCCATAAGGATTTTTTTCTTAAGTAAAACTTTAAATTTACTCTAATTTTGTCTCTTACCCAATATGAGGCAGTTTTTATCTGAATGTCAGAGGTTGCCACTTCAAAGTCTACATGAGAATTTAAATAATTTCTCTATAGGACAATAATAATAATTTTAAGTTTATTACTACTTTTCAGTTGACACAGAACTGTACCTGGCACATAGGAGATAATAAATATTTGTTTCATGAATAAATTTGTGGGGCAATTGTCTTGGTTGAGGAATGTAAAAGAATACAGAGGCTCTATTCTATGTTTCTATTTTCATAGATTGTGCCACAGTAACTATTCCCTACATGCTGATTTTTTTTTTTTAGTAAAATAACTATCTCAGGAAAATTGGATATTTTTCCTCCTTAGGCAATAATTGTGTGACACAACACATCCTTGTCAGAGTGCTGATTACTTCTTTCTATTGATACTTTCTGTTGCTTTTTTGCCAGCTTCTTTTTATTGACAGCATAGTGAAAGTATATAATTTCATATGAAATTGACTGAACTTGCATGAAAAGTCATTCCAAACTTTCTTATTAGCGCTCCTGCACAGTGGGGATTGACTGTGGGTGTGTTTGGTGGTAGGTGTAGTGTTAAGAGTAACACCTGAAGAGTACACCTGAGAACCTTGGACCTCCAAAACACAAATAATGATGTAAACCAATCTTACCTCAATAATAAAAAAAAAATTATATATATATACATATATATATATAAATAATATCTTGCTCATTTTCTATTCATTGCAGCTTCACCCTGTTGAATACTTTATCATTTTAAACCTCTTCTATTTATTTTGTAATAACCTTTTTCTTTGAAATACATCATTACTCACGCACTTTTTTTCATTTCTTCTTAGCATTTTACGCTGTCCTTTCTGTTTCTGTTCCTTTGAGTCTGAAATGAAAAGATACTCTAGTTTCTTCAATAAGTGAAGTCCTAAATACCACTTCATTCCAAGTACTTCCATTCTCTCCATCTTTTCCTTATCACAAATTGTGTTTCAATTATCTGAATTGGCTTAACTGATAGTTTATTGTTTTAAATTTAGGTATTGTGTTATAATACTATTTTATAAAGATAGCTAATGTCCTATCATAGTTTTGATCAAAGTCTATGTATTACTCTTAATAATGATGATAATAATATTTAACTACAAATAACATGTAAGCTCATATATATGTATAAACATACACAAAGTGGTTATCTGTATTTATATGTAACGTGGTTGAACATACATACAATTTGAGTATCATTAAACAAAGCATCACATGTAATAGTTACACCATTTTCATGAGTTTAAGGAGTAGCTACAATTGTTTTTCATGTTAGACAACATTTTGAATTTTAAACTGTCAAGGAAATCATGATGGAAAAAAGACTATACATTAAAGGACTATGTTGATATAGAGGTATTTTTTAAAATATCAGTTCAGTGGGTACAGCAACTAATAATATTTAATTTATATGGAAAAGTTATATATGCAATTTTAATTCACACATACAAATGTGCTTTATCAATGAGAACATCTCTGAATATTCACCTGTAAGTTTATTCTCAGTCATTTCTCATTATAATCAACTTCCTTTTCATTCTTGCCTAACTCTTCTGCAGCTTTATGTTTTTTCTCCTAAGTCAGGTAACATTTCTGACTAACTTCACTTAATTTTCTTAGTGTGTTTTCTTGTCATGTCTATTAGGAATTAATTTATTTAGTTTCATTTTATGTAGGTTGTAGGCTTTTCTCTGTTTCTCCTACTCATTTATTTTGAAAGTGGTCTCTCCTTTTTTTTACCTTTCATATTGATCTCTCTGCTGATTTGATTGTAGAATTTGAAATTTTTTTTTCCTTTGTAGATAAAATGACTGGATTCCCGTTGAATTGTTTTTCTACTAATTATTTGTTATAAGTCTACCAGTATGGATGAAGATACATTAAGAAGACTTATAGACTCCCTAGCAGAGTGAACTACCAATACTTAGGAAGTCTTATTTCTATTTATTCAGTAGTTTTAAGAAAAACATAAATAAAACCACACATATTGATGGCCATATTGATATTCAACATTGCCCTGAATGAGCATAGGCATTTAAGTTCAGCACAGAAAGTACATCAAGCACACCAAGGATTTAGATATTAGTTTAAACCATGTTCACTATTGTTGATTATTGTGAGTTATTTTTTTCAGCCATTGCAGTCAATGAAAGTTTGATTAGGCAATTAAGTTTTCTCATCCAAAGTGAACCTGCATAATAAAGAGAACTAAATTTCTAAGAAAGGCATCTTGCCAATAAAATACTTGTTACTAAATTAAAGGAAAGTCTTTAATGGAAATGGAATCAAAATTAGTACAATAAAGTTAAAATAAAGAAATGTATAAACAGAAAGGACAATCTTTATTGTCCTTTAATAAGATATTTAATTTATATGACAGTATTATATATTACTAGTATTATTAATTAAAAACTCTCAAACAGACTTTTACTTGTTTTTGGAGATCCTATACAGAACTTGGAGATTATGGGGACAAGATCTAAAATTTTATAAGGATGACTTACAGGTATCATCCACCTTCTTGACACATGCACCAGCTTGATTTTGATCAAAACCAATCTAAATTTAGAGTCTACTTTACATTTTTAGGTTATACAGTCAGCTAGAATAAATTGTTCTTTCATAAAATTTTCATAGTTGCATTTCCAGGTATATGAAGGTCTCTATGTAAGAGTTAATGAACTGCAATTGTTTTTTAATTAAAACATCTGCCATTAACTTTTCCATCATCCACCATGACGGGAATGAAATATATATATCTCCATATTTATTAGCTCAGAATACTAGCAAAACTCATTGGCAAGTAATTTCTTCATTAACAGATATTATGTCCTAGCAAACTTTCCTGCATTTAATACATGACAGAAGTTTCCTACTACAAAATCGGAATGGAATCACCCAGTCTACTGAAGGTTTATATGTGTGCAAGTTGGGAGTGGCTCTTGTTTCTAGCGCAACTTTTCTCTGTAATGGAACTGTTATTGTAATCCACATCCCTTCAAGCCTGCATGCTCATAAATCAGATGATCACTAAATCTCTTAAATCACTTCTCTCCTTTCAGTGAAAGGAGGTGAGAGCAACGGCTACTTCCCCAGAAGGGCCATGAAAATACAGAATTGAAGAAAGAAGTAGCTATGAGGAACATGAGGAAACACACAAGCTATGAGGAACATGAGGAAACACACAAGCTATGAGGAACATGAGGAAACACACAAGCCCCTTGCTCTTACTTCCCCAGCCACCGAGCACACTGCGGGCTGCCCAGGGTGTAATGAGTGTGCTGCACATCTAGGGGAAACAGGAAATTCACTGGAATTGTATCAGGGCTGGTTGTCCCACACAGAACTTCATTCTTCTGCTCTACAACATGTTTTTCAGCAGCACTTGTCAAAGCACGTCATTTCCTCAGCTGTGTAAGGTGGTTGCTTTTTCAGTCAGTACTTGAGTTACTTTTCAGACAGTTCAACTCCCAACTTTACATTATGTGCTCCTCGCCACATGTTAGTGCCCCTAACCTTGTCTAATAAAAATACAACAAAATGGGAATCTTTTCAGAGATGACCTTGATGGGTGTTACCAGAGTAGCTGAGGAAAACTACTGGATTAAACCGTATGAGAAGCACCTTTTATCCTCTAATTCCATAACTATCCTACACAGAAAATTAGAATACAAAGTGAAAGAAAGAAAAAGTGAATTATTATCATTTTTTTCTTAATTCCTGGCAGGGGGAGTTAGGTGAAAATATCATATAAGTAGATTTAAACTACTTCATTGAGATTATAATTCAATATATATTTCATTCATTTTCCTTTTTGTTCTTCATTTATTTCTTTGCAAGAGATTATGCATGAGCATTCAACTTACTTTATCTAGAAAGTGGTATCAAATCATCTATGTAAAAGAAAAATCATTCTTTTAACCCTATGAAGCTAGAAGATTAAACTTGCTGGAAAAAAAGGTTTCCACTTGAAGTTAAAAACACTTGTATCACCTTGGTAAATAGTAAAAATTAAAAAGATAATAAATAATCCGTTAATCTTTTTTTTCAGGAACATATTTTGAAACTTACAAGTACCAGACAAGTTTATAGCTTACTTAGATTGCTCTGCCTAATTCTAGTTCTGGGGTAGCATAGGACAACATGACATCAATACCAGGTATATTCTATGAAAGAATAGATGATGAAGTATTGCCACTATAATTTGTGATCACTGGTTTAATCTTCTGGGAATGATAGCTATAGCAAGTTTCATAGTTTTAGAGTTGTAACTTGTCTCAATATTGAATTCTTTGTAAACAAATTCTTCTTTGAGTTCAAAAATAGCACTTTTGATTACCCTGCATGGTATTGTTTGTCTGTGTCTATTTTTTGGTTGAATTCAACTGATGTCTGTGCATTTTTTCATAAAAGGATATGAAAAATCCCGAAGCTTAAACAACATAGCGGGCTTGGCAGGCAATGCTCTGAGGCTCTCTCCAGTAACATCACCCTACAACTCTCCTTGTCCTCTGAGGCGCTCTCGATCTCCTATCCCATCTATCTTGTAAACCAAACTGCATCAGTCGGCTAAATTGTATTAATTCAAGTACTGTTTACCCCATAATGGAAGCAATTAAACATAGAGTTATTCCAGGCTCCATTAATACAGTAAAAATTCTGCATGATACTACTATTTGAAGTCTGAAATGCCATTTGGGTAGCTAATGAGTCTTATCCTGGCTATAAAAGTTATTTAAAGTAGTGTTGCTACTACTTTTCCATAGTAGCTGTCCTGATCTCCTTCTGCAATAAAATGACAGATAGTGTCAGCTATTGACAGTACACAAATACATAAGCATAACTTCAGGGAAATATATTTAAAACTGTGCTTCCAAATGCTAACTACTTCATTGGACCTTCATTTCTTGTGACTCTAAATCATTCTGAAGTTGTCTCGGATCCTATCTTGATTGCACACAGTGACTTTGGTCAGCTCATTTGCATGGGCCATCCTGTCTCTCACCTGAAAGCAATGTCTCAGAGTTCGGGACTCTGGATAGCTCGGGATTTGTGTATTTGCATCGATCCATCCTGCTGGTATGAAAGTGCTGGTCAACTGTTCTGCATGTTGAATTGTGGGGCAGGGAGGGTGAGTTTCTCCTTGGTTTTTTTTTTTTTTTTCCTTAACCTCTGATCAAAATATTTACTAAACCGCTTAATTTCTTGATTAACTTAATTTTATGAAAAATGTTGTATTAGCGTTCTGAATGTCTCTGGTTGTTTGCACACAGATAACTGCAAAGATGTTGTCATTACTGGTTACACGCAAGCTGAAGCCAGATCTCTTACTTAATGACTTGGGGAAGGCACAAAACACGAGAGAAAGGTAACTGCCAGCCAGGCGTGCATTGTTTAGCCAGGAATTGCTGCTTGGTAATAGCCTTTTTTTTTTTTTTAAAGTCCCAGAATTTGTCATCATTTTCAGAGGCAGAATGCCAAATATCACCCAAAACTCTCGTGTCTTTTACCCCCTTCTTTTATTTTTATTTCTTAATTTTTGTGCCAAACATCAAAGAACTTTGGTGTTCATGAGAGGTTTTCTGGACCAGCCTTAAATTTCGGACTCATTAGACTAATCAAATTTTCAGGCAGTGTTTAATCAGGTGCTTTGTCCTGTATGTTGTTCTGTTTGTCTATCTTAGTTCTCTGTCTTGACTGTATGCCATCTGTCTCCATGAAGCACAAAAATGCCTTGTTCAGGTGTTCACAATTTTAGTATTGGGTCTTCTGCCTTCATTGCTATTTATAACAGCCTCTCTGCTTTATGTATAAATTAATAATACTCTGTAGACTACCTAAGTGAATTGGTACTGTGGACCTTTTTGATAAGCAGGATTAAAGTAGTTTTACAACATCGCTGCAATTGGATGCCTGCTCCAGTGTCAGTTTCTACTACCTAGCAACCAGCATTTATCACTACACTCAAACAAAGCCCCTAAGGGGGTTTATTCTGTCTAAGTGGAAGAAATTCTGTTTACACATCTCTATGAATGCAATAGAAACAGCGTGTCTGGTGTGTCGGGCATGGGAGGGAAGACATTAACAAATAAACAATTTTTCTAAGGTATACAGGATCTGTGAGGTTGTTGATTCATTCCTAATTCTCATGTCTTTGTTAGGAAGACAATTGTCACTTTTGCTGTTAGCACATGCTGTGTATTACTCTAGATCCCCAAGTACTGGAGCATGATCTGCATGTCAGAGATCTTGTACAGCAGTGTCTCCACCCAGACATACATATCTGATGTTTAGAGATTCAGTGATCTTTGTGATAACAATACACATAGAAAGTTATAATTAAACACATCTTTATCGTAAAGGAATTAATGTACTGTCTGGTGCTGCTGTTATTGACTGCAGTGTTATACAGAATTTATCATGGATTTTTGGCTGCTGAAAAAGGGACAGTGGAATTTAGCCACACCAAGGACTGTCCCGGAAACAGACTTCTGCTGCTGAACTTGCCCTGCGGTGACCAGGTTGCCCTGGGAAGAGGTCCCCGCAACGTCAAGAGTCACTTAAAGTTTTTAAAAGAACTGTGACTGGAACTCATTTGGTGCTGCCATCTGAGTGGTCTGCTTTTGGACTGGCTGTGTCCATGAAACAGTTGTAAATACCACCGTGTGTGCATGGGTCAACAGCTTTGGCCAGCTCACATCCAAGGAAGCCACGCTCACAATCAGCATCTCGGAAGCTTCCGATGAGGCCCATATTTCTGTGAGTTACCCTTCATGGGCCCGCAGTAGATTGTGCTGTAAATCACGCAAGGCAGTGACAGTGGTGTAGTATAGGTCTCTTTTAATTTCCCTGGTTTCTCCCTTACTGTTTGAATCCATGAACATTGATTGTATCATTTTGTCATAAACAAGTTATTAGCTTGTCATGTTATGTTGTAAACTTTTCAGTGCCTATTATGAAAACTGTCATATTTTTAATCATATCTTTGTTTAGTTCTGGAAAATCATGACCAAAAAAAATATTCACCGACATTATTCATACTTTAAGTCTTCTATCATTGTTACCTCAATTATAAATATAAAAAAATCTGGAATGAGAATATTTTTTTATTGATCAAGGAGAAGTGTCAGCATATAGTAGAATCTTAAATTATATCTTCAAATGTATATTTTGCATAAAAGAGATATTCTTCAATCACTTTTTTGTGAGTTTTGTGACAAATTAAGCTTGTACTTGTCTTTAAAATTGTTGCCGCTGAAACTGTCTAAGAATTCTTCGCCATGCTTAATCACTGTTTCCAGAATCTATTACTTCCCCTGGGATTCTGAATATAATGTATATCTTAACTATGAACCCCTGTATCGTGGACCTTTTGTGAATATTTCAAGGTGCATGCACAACCTTGGAGATAACATGGAACTGTAACTAACTGAAATGAAGAATAAAAGGCAAATGAGCTGGGGATTAACTTGAATCCTACGTGATTAAATTATTCGTATCTTTTTCTTGACTTTTCTCTGTTTTTGAGTTTTCAACAGGCTTTACTATCCTTTTGCTTCTTGATACCAAACCAGACACTCCCACGTGATAATTTGAAATGGAATTCCAAATACTTAACTCTCATTTCCATTCAAGTTTTAGGCGTGTGTAGTCAGTGTTTTTTCCTTCTAATGCATTGTCTGCCTAAGTTTCTTCTGCAATTTTGAGATGGCAAAATCATGATTATGGAATTAATATGGCATGTTATGACCAGTACTGAATTTTTACTTCTATTTTCCAATTTAATCATCACAGCAGTTCTGAGGCAAATAGTTTTCTGTTTTCATTTTATTGGTGATAGAGTTAAGCATCAGAGAGGCATAATTGCTCTCTTATATTTTGTCACAGATAAACTTTCCTGCTGTAGTTTCTTATGATTTAAATATTATATCTCCTGAATATGACTTTTGCATTAGTTCTGGGTAATGAGTATCTCTTTCAGCAGCATATCACATATAGAAACCAGCAAGAAGGGAAAGGGTTAAAGGAAAATGAGAATAAGGTTGGTGAACCCAACACTTGCCTAGGAAGCAGTATAATCTTTTCTATGTATAAAATGTGCAATGTTATTAAGAAAAGGTGAAGAAACTGAGCTCAGAAAAGGAAATCTGTCTAAATATAATTATTGATGAAATGTTTTTTTTTTTTAAGATTTATTTATTTATACATACAGAACTAGGGTACAGAACAGAGGTGCAGGGGCAGTGAGAGGATTCACCAGAGACAGAGTGGGGAGCAGAACAGACCGTCTGACGAAGTACACTGCTGAGAGGAGCAGTGGGCGGGTCAGGAAAGGTCTGCCGCACCATGTGGGTCACCTCTGGGGCAGGTGGGGATCAAACTCATGCTGAAGTGGCTTTAGCTTCTTAGTGCTTTGCTTTAACCCGCTGTGCCACCAGGGAGGGTCCCATTGATGAAATGTTTTTAACAATGATGTCAGATGTAGGATTTACTGTAAAAAAAGAAAAAAGATGCAAGAAGGGGAAAGAATGTATTACAATAGAGGATAATTTGCCATTAAATTTTGATTAAAAACCAAGATTAAATGGTCATGAATCATATTGAAGAAATTCATTGTGTTTTTGAAATAAGTCACAAGACAAGCTAATGAGATAGCAGTAGCGAACTGGACTTAGAAATAGATAATGAATATATTAGAAACGGATATTACAAAGTTTGAAGACATTTACAACTAAATGAAACTACTAAAATACTGAAATCGGGCCCTCGCTGGTGGCACAGCGGGTTAAAGCACAGCACTAAGAAGCTAAAGCCACTTCTGCATGAGTTCGATCCCCACGGAAGTGACCCACATGGCGAGGCAGACCTCTCCTGACCCCCTCCCCGCCCCCCCCACTACTCCCCTCAGCAGTGTACTTCGACAATCTGCCTGTTCTGCTCCCCACTCTGTCTCTGGAGAATCCCCTCACTGCCCCTGCACCTCTGGCCTGTATGTACAAATAAATAAATCTTTAATTGTTTAACTGCTTGGATATTATTAAACTACAGATACGTAGTCATTTTATAACATGGGTTCCGTATCATTAATATTGATCTCAAGTTTTAAAATTTCTTGTTCTCCTCTAAACTAATGATTCCAGTATCTATTTTCATTATTGTCTAAAAACTAAATAATTTTATTGTATTAGTAATACATGCTCTCTTTTTAAATTTACTACCCTGTCATGTCAAAGGTGTGCAACACGGATTATACCTTTTTAATGGTAAGACCTTAAAAAATTATGGCAACCTTCACTGAAAATCCCACATAACCTAATATTAAGTTTTTAAAAAATAGACTTTACTTATTTAAAGAGTTATTTTTACTTATGCATAAAAGAACTAGGATACTGGCCATAGGAGTGGGGATGAGAGCATTCAATAGAGTAGGGAGCAGAATAGACAAATTGGCTGAAGCACACTGCTGAGGGGAGCAGTGGGCAGGTCAGGAGAGGTCTGTCATGCCACGTGGGTCTGCTTTGTAGCTGCAGATCGAACCATCTGCAGTGGCTGCAGGTAGCTTCATAGTGCCATGCTTTAAACCCCTTGCACAACAAGGGAGAACCCAGACTTTACTTTTTTTTAAGACATTATTGCACACACAGAAAAGCTGGGTAGAAAGTGAAGAGTACCATTCTCCCTCCCCTCTGCCCATCTCCTTTCCCTACACTGAAGTGGTGTAACTGTTCCCGATGATGAACCTACATTGACAACAAAGCCGTAGTCTACATTAAGGGTCACTCTTGGTGGTGTGCATTCTATGTGGTTGGCTATGTATCCTTTATTGTACTATGGTACAGAATAATTTCACTGTCCTAAAAAGCCATTTTTTTTTTAAAGATTTATTTATTTGTACATACAGAACTGGGGTACAGGCCAGAGGCTCAGGGGTGGTGAGAGGCTTCACCAGAGACAGAGTGGGGAACAGAACAGGCAGATCAACGAAGTACACTGCTGAGGGGAGCAGTGGGCGGGTCAGGAGAGGTCTGCCACACCATGTGGTCTCCTCCGGGGTAGGCGGGAATTGAACTCATGCGGAAGTGGCTTTAGCTTCTCAGTGCAGTGCTTTAACCCGCTGCGCCACCAGGGAGGGCCCAAAAGTCATTTTGGTAAACCTACTCACCCCATTGTCCCCTTAACCATTGGCAAGTGCTGATCTTCTTGATCCTCCATAGTTAGTCTATTTTAGAATGTCATGTTGTTGGATTCATACAGAATATAACTTTCTCAAATTGACTTATTTTCATTTATCATTATATATCAAAAAATTTTCTATGTCTCCTCATGGTGCATTTCATTTTAGTGCTGAGTAATATTCTGTTTGAATGTATAATAGAGTTTATCCATTCACCTATTAAATGACAGTTGGTTGCTACCAACTTTTGTGAATTATGAAGAAACTGGTCTAAACATTCATGTGCAATTTTTTGCCCAGACCAGAATTTTCATTTGCTAAATGCACACAAGGAGTATAGTTGCTGGATCATATGATAAGCTTATGATCCAGCTTACACTTATGTTTTAAATTTAGTTCTTCTATATAGTTAGCATTTTTCATTATTGCAATGTCATTTCAACACATCATTTACTTTGGCAGTGATCATTTATTAATGGTTTTGCTTAAGTTCAAAACATAGAAATTAGCATGCCTTTAACCTTTTTAAACTTTAGAAATATCAGATCCAGTTACCCTGTAAGTTAGCTTTTTATTTGCTAGCATTGATTTTTCAGGAAATTACGTTTATTAAAATCAAAGGAAAAGTTATTGATTGATTGGATTGCAGAGGTAAACTTAATTCACAATACCATATATGATTTTCAGGAATAGGTTCACACCTCTTCAGATGTAATTACTATGCCACATTCACCAGCAATCACCCATAATCTTTCACCATACACCACAGATCACTCTTCCCTATTTGTACAATACCTCACTCTCCTTTCTAGAATTCTTAGTTGTGCAGTCATAGAATGTTTTGGTTTTGTTTTGTCTGTTCCTTTGTTTTGTTCCTCTCTGTTGCACATGAGTGAAATCATTATTTGATTTTCTCCTGACTTGTTTTACTCAGCATCATTCCTTCATTTCATCCATGTTGTTGCATTTCTTTTTTAGAAATGAGTACTATACCAGCACAGATACGCACCACATCACCTTCCCCTACTTATCTGTTGACTTCACCTGGGACTTCAGGTGTTTCCATAAGTAACTTGGCTATTGTAAACAGTGCTGCAATGAGCACAGCCTCTTCAAATGATTGTTTTGTGTTCTTTGAATAAATAGTAATGAGTTGAATTGCTATCTATCACTTCTTAACATTTTGAGGTACCTCTATGTTGTTTTCCATAGGCAATGGATCAGTCTTGGGTCCCACTAAGAGCATCTAAGCATACATCTTTTACTCACTGCTACCCCCTCGCCCCATATGGAACATCCTCACAAGAGTGAGGTGATGCTTAATTGTGGTTTTGATTTGTGTTTCCCTGATGATAAAGGCCTAATATATAGTATTTACAAGTAATGTATCACAATATTGTAAAAAGAGAACACTTCAATTAAAAAAAAAAAAGTGGGCCAAAAGAGATAAATAGGTACTTTACCCAGAAAAGCCCACAATGGTTAGCAGGTACATGAAAAAAAAAAAAAATCTCACCATCACTTACCATCAGTAATTAAAAAATATATCTATTTATTTATGCATACAAGGCTGGGGTTAGGCTAGAGGTGATGGTGAGAGGATTCACCAGAGACATAGTGGGGAGAAGAACAGGCAGATCTACTGAAATACACTGCTGAGGGGAGCAGTAGGCAAACAGGAGCAGTCTGCTGTGCTAAGAGGTTTACCTCCTTGGCTGGAGAACCATCTCATGTTGATGTTGCAATGGCTGTGGATAGCTTGATAACTCTGTGTCTTTAACCCCAATACCACCAAGGAGGCCCAGTATTTTTTTTTTCAACGATCACCAAATCTGATTCCAAATTTGAGGCACTATTGTCTACAAAATTCTGTTATAAATTTACAGAGCGTGTATCTTTAGTTTGTGTGTTTTTTCTGTAAGAACAGAAGGAGATTAGGACATTCAGTGTAACCCAAAATCAAGAAAATTATTTTGGGAGAAATTAAATTTTTATCTCTGGTATGTACTTAGAATTCTTCCTATAAGTCAGGAAGAGTTATCATTACACCAAAATGATTAAAATACCTTAACATTAGTGAAAATTTCACTAATCTCAGGAGTAGCAAAAATAACATGAAACAGCTGGCATATGAAAGAATTCTTAATATAGTTTTTAATATGATGATTTCTGAAATGTTTCCTTCATCAATGTTCTCAGTGTTTTTTATTTATTTTCTTTTGAGGTCACTTAGCAGTGATCTGAAATGTTTTTAAAACTGATTATTTCTCAATAGCTAAAATAAACTATATTACTTAAAGATTTGTTTTACTTGCTGAAC